AGTAACTAATCTACCGAGTCAAGAAAATAAAGAAAATTTGAGGTAACAATGCATTTGCCTCAATGGAAACACAGGCTACCACAAGATGGATTGCCTACAAATGAAAAAGGTCAAAATCAAATGTTTCACAAATGCTGAAAGTTCATCAAATGCAGTAGCCACAGCATTCAAAAGAAAGAAACAGCCAAAAAAAAATCAGGAGAAGTAATTCACAAGTACAATAACATCCCTAAAATAACATTTATATGTCGGCATTATTTCAGATGTCATGCCAACAGAAGAAAAACTTCATTAATGACATTTCCAGACAATAATCTTTTCCATGCATGTTACTCTAAGTGACCTACGAATTACTTGTGAGACCATAAGCAGAAAATAACGATGGAGCCAGTCAGCCACCAAATATAACGAAGGAAAATGCTAGGCTTTCAGCCAAAATTCAACCGAAACTGGTTACAAGCATGACCATTTCCAATCAGATAAGACGTAACAAAAGCACGATTGTCGTTGTTTGTTCTGGATCAAGGAAAATTGATCTGAGTGGAACTATTAAAAATACCCAATTGACAAATTGAAAACAAAGAAATTTTAAGAAGAGGGCATAGTAAACCAACTTAGGAGAAAAGAGCCACTTAGACCTGAATATAGAACGCCAGAAGCCATACCAATAATTTGGAGCCTCTGATCATATACAACAGAGACTATTTGCACGTTATCTGTTAAAGCTAGAGCAGACTGACGGTTGAGGCTTGTAAAAGATGATTGATGGCAGCAAGTTTTCCTATCGGAAAAAGATGGCCATGACTTCATGCGGAGAAATATTTTGTACCATACTGGAATCTGCTTACACACGCTAGCTCCACAAGCTCTAATATTTTTGCATCAAACACTTCAAAAACGAAGGATGCCACGTTTGCTTTTGATTTTGATTATTTTCAGTCATAATCTTCATGGGTGAAATAGGGATAGAGAAGCACCCAATAATGGGACTGACAACAAAGGCTTCCTCGGCCATTAAATTTGTCTCTACCAGCAGTTTCTGTCAAACCCATAATAGAGGTCACATCTCTAGCATTCTTTACATCCCATCATGTTCCCGAGGGTTGCCCATGATTTGCTGGAGTCCATAATATCAGAATTTTTTACAAACTCTTCGTTGTTGATCATCCAACTCCGAACCCAAATTAGTTCTTAGAAACAAAAAATCAAAACATTCCATGTAGAAGCCATACCTTCCTACCTAATTTCCTGATCCGGCTACAACTAGTGACGGATCCAGAAAATTTTTCTTGGGGGCGGACAACAATATCTTTTTATTTAGAAATAAGAATATAGTATAACATTATAAAACTATAGTACCTTATGAGAAAGATACGCTTTAAATGAGCTAATTCAATTTTCTACTAACATATTTAATGTTTTCAGATAGGTTGGGTTTTTTTTTTGCCTGGGTTTTTCCCCTTGTTTTTTTTTTTTTTTTTTTTTTTTTTTTGGGGGGGGGGGGTTAAATCTTACCAGGGTAAATGTAAAGGGGTGCAACTGCACCCAATCCCTAAATCCACCCAGGCTACATGTTTAGACAACACATCTCATCAATTAACACCACCCTGATTCTCTGTATCTCACTGAAGCCTATTTAACAAAACTACAAAGTTCCATTTATAGATATTTGTGAACCACAAAAACCGTAAGGCGCAGAGGCATGAAGAAAGGAATAAAAAAATAAGAATCAGGTAACTGAAAAAGCAAACCTTTTTTTTCCTTCACACAAGAATAAAATAGTTTTAGCACAATATAGTAATGGCAGTCTGCTAGGATGGGCTCAAAAAATGTTTCACGCATTATTTTAGTAGTAGAATCAAAAAATGTTTCACACATTATTTTAGTAGTAGAACCAATGCAGGTATCTAGCCAATTAAAAAGTCTCGCATTGATTGCGACTCCTGCCTACTAAAGTCACCTAATAAGTACCGTAATTTCCTTAAATTCACAAATGAGAGACACAAAGAGTTACCAAAATGCTTAAACACAGCCTAGCGAAACCACCTACCACAGAATTAGTCATATGTTCTTTTTAAGCCTGACCAGATAGCAGCACATAGTAAATTACATTATTGAAGTAGAATCTAAAAATATTTATCTTAATGTAAAATAAGATGCTTCCTCTATGCACCATCTTTTATAAGGAAATTAAATTGCATCTGAGACATGGAATTATTATCTCACCCATATACATTGTCAAGAATACCATCTGACCCTGGTAAGTTCTTAAGTTATATATATGAAAAGAAGCTTTACATATACAAAGGATCTCGAGTTTCCAAATGGACTCCATTCATTAGCGGAGGCCTGACTACCACGACCCCATCAAAGTTCAGAAAAATAAAAAGTAGAGACAATTTTTTTGCAACTGGACCAAGCATGCTATTTTTCACACAGTTACACCTAATCTACTAGCTTTCACTAAAAAGATTCTTGTATTCCTAATTCAAGGGGGAAAACAAAGATTTTCTTAATAGATGTCCCCAAGAAAAATTATACACCACCTCTCAAGGCAACTTTCCACATAAAGTGAGCAAATAAATACTTAATTCTCAAAAACCCATCTTGCTCTTCAAAATAAATCCTTTCAAAGACGCGAAAATAGCTAATCTAGGCAACTTCTAAATGTAGCCAAGAGGTTGATACTCACCACTTTGAATTGGGTGAATGGGTGGTTGAAACTACAAACTGAAAATTCACGCAGCTCAACATCATATACTACCCTGACAACAATGTAATGAAGTTTTGAAGATTTCCAATACGTTCTAACCATGGATCACATGGGCAAAATGTAAGCATCTAAGATCTGATCATGTTGTGATCATATTTACCTCTAGGTCTGGCATTCTTGATATATAGTACATGTTAAGAAAGCCAGAACAGCATATGTTGACAGTTGGTGAATAAGTAAAACATATCTAAAACATTTCAAATCTAGTTTCGGAATAATGTAGGTAATGTAGATCACATCCCATGGTTTGTGTCCCGGAATCACCATTTTCAACTTTAAAGGGTGAGTATCCCCACAGAATACTTCCTAACTATATCCACACGTACGCACGCCCAAGACACACACAAAACAAAAACACCCCACATGGCCCCAACTCTTAAATATCATCACAGGGAAAAAAATTTAACAAACCCTCCAATTTTGCTCTTTAACAAACAAGAAATAATAAACAGAATAACTAGTAGCACATGAACGTATATTATTTTATTCATGTTCATAACCTGCCTACACGATAATGCTAGTGTTAATGCATTGCTGTCAAAAAAACGTTCCCCAAGAAAGGGCAAAGTAAAATATTTTATATGCACAAATTCCTACGGTGTAGTATTAAAATTTGGTCCCCATGCATCGCACATGCCAAAGGATCTACGGAAGCATGAAAGAAAATGTTGGATAATATTCAGCTTGCAGCTTGCAAGCGAACTAGGATATATTGGATTACAGACAGTTGCCTAGCCAACTAGGTGCCTGACAGAGTGCAATTGCACACCAAAACTCCAGCACATAGCAGTTGCACCTCGTGCTCCAGTACACAATAACATTACTCTCTTGATAAAAGAACTCACTAGATTTAATACAAAGGTCATCAAGCACTTGATTGACAGGAATTAGACACAAAGGGCTGTTGCCCATCATGCTGGACTTCTATGGATGCTAAAGGTCAAATAAGACACCTTGTAGATGTTGTCAACTAGTCATATTTAATTTCAAAGGTAGAGAAAAATGACGAACCTGCAACCTGAATTGAAATACAGTCGTAAAATAAACACAACAATTTGATCAGTCCAGCATATGATAGATGCAATACTATTAATTCATACTCCTACATGACAACCAGTAAGTAATATACTGCACGAGAAATGAAGGGAAATAACACATATTATATCCAAAGTCATCGTCAAATGTGCTATGTAGAAAATCAAGTCATATACAAGTTCTATATTTATGCATACATGAATAGCATAAAGAAAAGAGGATTGCACCAAAAGATAAATTGGGTTAGTCTGGCCTTGATCAACCCAAGGTGTCGCAATGACCAGGATAAAGCACCAACATTAAATAGACTCCAAAACAGACAGTCCACACTAACTGGAGCTCAAGAAAGTAACTCGATGAAATATAGATTCTGAACCATTTAATCAAGCCTTTAACCAATATCAACAGCTTTTATTAGAGAAATATTTTGTACCATACTGGAATCTGCTTACACACGCTAGCTCCACAAGCTCTAATATTTTTGCATCAAACACTTCAAAAACGAAGGATGCCACGTTTGCTTTTGATTTTGATTATTTTCAGTCATAATCTTCATGGGTGAAATAGGGATAGAGAAGCACCCAATAATGGGACTGACAACAAAGGCTTCCTCGGCCATTAAATTTGTCTCTACCAGCAGTTTCTGTCAAACCCATAATAGAGGTCACATCTCTAGCATTCTTTACATCCCATCATGTTCCCGAGGGTTGCCCATGATTTGCTGGAGTCCATAATATCAGAATTTTTTACAAACTCTTCGTTGTTGATCATCCAACTCCGAACCCAAATTAGTTCTTAGAAACAAAAAATCAAAACATTCCATGTAGAAGCCATACCTTCCTACCTAATTTCCTGATCCGGCTACAACTAGTGACGGATCCAGAAAATTTTTCTTGGGGGCGGACAACAATATCTTTTTATTTAGAAATAAGAATATAGTATAACATTATAAAACTATAGTACCTTATGAGAAAGATACGCTTTAAATGAGCTAATTCAATTTTCTACTAACATATTTAATGTTTTCAGATAGGTTGGGTTTTTTTTTTGCCTGGGTTTTTCCCCTTGTTCTTTTTTTTTTTTTTTTTTTTTTTTTTTTTTGGGGGGGGGGGTGTAAATCTTACCAGGGTAAATGTAAAGGGGTGCAACTGCACCCAATCCCTAAATCCACCCAGGCTACATGTTTAGACAACACATCTCATCAATTAACACCACCCTGATTCTCTGTATCTCACTGAAGCCTATTTAACAAAACTACAAAGTTCCATTTATAGATATTTGTGAACCACAAAAACCGTAAGGCGCAGAGGCATGAAGAAAGGAATAAAAAAATAAGAATCAGGTAACTGAAAAAGCAAACCTTTTTTTTCCTTCACACAAGAATAAAATAGTTTTAGCACAATATAGTAATGGCAGTCTGCTAGGATGGGCTCAAAAAATGTTTCACGCATTATTTTAGTAGTAGAATCAAAAAATGTTTCACACATTATTTTAGTAGTAGAACCAATGCAGGTATCTAGCCAATTAAAAAGTCTCGCATTGATTGCGACTCCTGCCTACTAAAGTCACCTAATAAGTACCGTAATTTCCTTAAATTCACAAATGAGAGACACAAAGAGTTACCAAAATGCTTAAACACAGCCTAGCGAAACCACCTACCACAGAATTAGTCATATGTTCTTTTTAAGCCTGACCAGATAGCAGCACATAGTAAATTACATTATTGAAGTAGAATCTAAAAATATTTATCTTAATGTAAAATAAGATGCTTCCTCTATGCACCATCTTTTATAAGGAAATTAAATTGCATCTGAGACATGGAATTATTATCTCACCCATATACATTGTCAAGAATACCATCTGACCCTGGTAAGTTCTTAAGTTATATATATGAAAAGAAGCTTTACATATACAAAGGATCTCGAGTTTCCAAATGGACTCCATTCATTAGCGGAGGCCTGACTACCACGACCCCATCAAAGTTCAGAAAAATAAAAAGTAGAGACAATTTTTTTGCAACTGGACCAAGCATGCTATTTTTCACACAGTTACACCTAATCTACTAGCTTTCACTAAAAAGATTCTTGTATTCCTAATTCAAGGGGGAAAACAAAGATTTTCTTAATAGATGTCCCCAAGAAAAATTATACACCACCTCTCAAGGCAACTTTCCACATAAAGTGAGCAAATAAATACTTAATTCTCAAAAACCCATCTTGCTCTTCAAAATAAATCCTTTCAAAGACGCGAAAATAGCTAATCTAGGCAACTTCTAAATGTAGCCAAGAGGTTGATACTCACCACTTTGAATTGGGTGAATGGGTGGTTGAAACTACAAACTGAAAATTCACGCAGCTCAACATCATATACTACCCTGACAACAATGTAATGAAGTTTTGAAGATTTCCAATACGTTCTAACCATGGATCACATGGGCAAAATGTAAGCATCTAAGATCTGATCATGTTGTGATCATATTTACCTCTAGGTCTGGCATTCTTGATATATAGTACATGTTAAGAAAGCCAGAACAGCATATGTTGACAGTTGGTGAATAAGTAAAACATATCTAAAACATTTCAAATCTAGTTTCGGAATAATGTAGGTAATGTAGATCACATCCCATGGTTTGTGTCCCGGAATCACCATTTTCAACTTTAAAGGGTGAGTATCCCCACAGAATACTTCCTAACTATATCCACACGTACGCACGCCCAAGACACACACAAAACAAAAACACCCCACATGGCCCCAACTCTTAAATATCATCACAGGGAAAAAAATTTAACAAACCCTCCAATTTTGCTCTTTAACAAACAAGAAATAATAAACAGAATAACTAGTAGCACATGAACGTATATTATTTTATTCATGTTCATAACCTGCCTACACGATAATGCTAGTGTTAATGCATTGCTGTCAAAAAAACGTTCCCCAAGAAAGGGCAAAGTAAAATATTTTATATGCACAAATTCCTACGGTGTAGTATTAAAATTTGGTCCCCATGCATCGCACATGCCAAAGGATCTACGGAAGCATGAAAGAAAATGTTGGATAATATTCAGCTTGCAGCTTGCAAGCGAACTAGGATATATTGGATTACAGACAGTTGCCTAGCCAACTAGGTGCCTGACAGAGTGCAATTGCACACCAAAACTCCAGCACATAGCAGTTGCACCTCGTGCTCCAGTACACAATAACATTACTCTCTTGATAAAAGAACTCACTAGATTTAATACAAAGGTCATCAAGCACTTGATTGACAGGAATTAGACACAAAGGGCTGTTGCCCATCATGCTGGACTTCTATGGATGCTAAAGGTCAAATAAGACACCTTGTAGATGTTGTCAACTAGTCATATTTAATTTCAAAGGTAGAGAAAAATGACGAACCTGCAACCTGAATTGAAATACAGTCGTAAAATAAACACAACAATTTGATCAGTCCAGCATATGATAGATGCAATACTATTAATTCATACTCCTACATGACAACCAGTAAGTAATATACTGCACGAGAAATGAAGGGAAATAACACATATTATATCCAAAGTCATCGTCAAATGTGCTATGTAGAAAATCAAGTCATATACAAGTTCTATATTTATGCATACATGAATAGCATAAAGAAAAGAGGATTGCACCAAAAGATAAATTGGGTTAGTCTGGCCTTGATCAACCCAAGGTGTCGCAATGACCAGGATAAAGCACCAACATTAAATAGACTCCAAAACAGACAGTCCACACTAACTGGAGCTCAAGAAAGTAACTCGATGAAATATAGATTCTGAACCATTTAATCAAGCCTTTAACCAATATCAACAGCTTTTATTAGAATAAGGGCAGAAGATTACCTTGTGCTGAAGTCTCATTATTGTAGATATCAACAGCTTGTCGCCAATTACTTGCCTCAACTTTTTAACTAGGTCGGTCCTATTTATTTTTCTTGTCTGTTGAAAGGAGAGTGACAGCAGTCAAGGATTTGACTATGATGACAGTAAGATAAATATGAGGAGAAGAGGAACAATAACTACCTTGAACTCTTCATAATGCATATTAACTAAATCCATGTCATGAGCAGATACTTTGGTTGAAATTGCAGCAAACAACATCGAAAAGGGCATCCAAGGTGATGTTGGAGTTCGTGGAGGTCTACCGAACATTGGAGCTCTTTCCTGAGGCTGACTGGCCAGGCCTGGAGAGGGGTTGCCCTCCTTGTATGAACAAAATGAAATTTAATATCAGGCCAATCTGATGTGATCAGAAGACATGGCAAGGTAAATGGGCTACACAAGTACTTTCAAAGCCTGAACAGAAAATTCCTAGAAATACAATCTTCCCATAACGAACTAAAATAAAAAATGTAAGTGTTCCACTCTAGGCAGAATACAAACTAAAACAAATTTCGATAAATTTTAAATTGGGTGACTATCATGTGTTAATATACAGCATCAGCACCGACATCAATGCAGCATAATTGCTTGGACGGAGCTTGAAGATCAGACAAACCTCATCAGGATTAACTTGCTGCAGCATCCACTGTCAAATCGACATGTCACATAATGCTCGGAAAGAAAGAAACAAGGCTCATACCTGCAATAGGCTTTGTGATGAACCAGAATTTGTAAGCACAGATGTATTAGACACGCTTTCCTTTCCAGCCAAATTTTCTGCAGAAATATGAAAAACGAAAATAGCATTTTAACTTTAGAACTTTGTACAACCACCACCAAAAACCTCAAACTACCCTAATCACCTTCTGCTTTTTGAGGCACTTTAATAGCCACAACATATTCTGGGTAAATACGATTATCCATGTGCATTCCCCATACAATATAGTGCTTCGGTGATTGAAGATCATCAACACCACTATCAAAGTTTTCATCACTGGGCTGAAACTGGTCAGATCCATTGCAAACAAGTTCTACATTTCCCATTATAACCCGGCACAACATCATATGAATCATGCCATTTTCGTCGACATCAGAGTAACCAGCACTGGAAATAGTAATTGGTAAGTTATGTCTTGAGAACAAATCATAAGTCATAAGCACAATGACATAACCTAAATTCACATTTCAATTGTGTTAGCATTTAGACTGTTCCTAGAGCGGATAAAGAAAGAAAATCTCACCAGATATTGGAGCGATTTGCCGGAGCAAGATGAACACCTAACCCATATGCAGGTCCACGCATGGGCTTCTTAAACATCACCCTCTCTCCTGACATTACGTCTTCCACGGCATCTCTGGAAGAAGCTAGCCATGCATAACGAACATTTGCATTGCCCCGGAGATTCTTAGTGGCCTCAACTTCTTTGCGGAAAAGCTCAAAACGAATTTGCCCAATGTTATTTACCAAAGGTATTTTGGAGATGTTGGCAATATCCTTTGCATTAATAACTGAACCCAACCCATAGAGCAACATACTTTGCACAGCGCCAAGAGCACTGGGTCCACCAGTAGGCATTGCAACTTTCTCCTGACAAGATCCAGAATCAGAAACCTTTGGAAGGAATATAGCACATGGTTCATTCTCACCAACAACTTCTTCGAGATCATTAGTTACGTTCTTGTCATCTAACAACCCCTTAGTAGTGTTATTGTTATCTGAGATGATCTTAACACTATTATTGTTGTAGCTGGGAACACTCTTAATCCCCTTATCCTCTACACCAGCAGTTGCATTCTTGTTATCAAACACATCGATAATGCCTTTGTTCCTATCACTGGAAACACTTCTAATTCTCTTGACATTTGAGAAGACTTCATCATCGGGAGCCTCAGAATTTGCGCTTTCAGCAGCACTGAGTGAAATATCCAACTGTGAATTCATTTCTCGTGTTCCACTTGGCTCACAAGGCAAGTGAACATGTTTTCCTTCATCAGAGTCAAGGTACCCGTATGAAGCAAAAAATTCTGGGAAAAAACATGCCCCGTGTACGTCAATCCATGCAATTGGCTTGCTTGCCCCCGTCTCTGTATCTATGTATACCATGTGCACAAAATCCAACAACAGTTGCTGTTTCTGATACATAACTTCAGATATTGCCTTCTTCATTTGAAAATCTCCTAGTACAAGACTAGTAATATTGCCAGGAAAATCTTTCCATTCCCCATCCTGATAAAATAACACTCGATGGGGCAACCCACTTTTCATAAAATTCCGATAGTTCCTCAGAATATGCTTCTCCGGAGAAGAGTGAGATTTAAGTTTAGAGTCATCAGGTCTAATCATACCACAACACTTGAAAGAGGATGGTACCACATTCTGCTGTTGTGTTACCATGGCACGGCCAGCATATGCAGCAGGCGGAGCCGCTCTTTTTCTCTTAAGCTCGCCGGCAATTCTCCCGCCATTAACCAATGCCTTTACGTTCGTCGCTTCCATTTTTAAGTACTAAAGTAAAAGTAAACACCAACCAGTAACTAATTCTTTTCAATAAGCTTGTCTCCACGAAGCCTGCTTACCTAAAGCAAGCTACTCTCACTCATAAGGCTAGAGCCATAAAACCTCGGGTCTGGGAAGACAATGTGTGAGCTGAACCTAAAATAATAAACAGCATGTAAGCATAAGAATTCTCATGTAAGTGTATTTGCATGACAAACAAAAAGTTAAAAAAGGGAAAAGGAAAGATACACATTTCTCATGTGAAAAGAGACTCAACTGCCCCTTTTCAGGTACATATCTAATAACTGTGGAAGCCTATGTGTCTTACAGACTATAAATATAGGATTAGACAGGTTTTCACAATCAACAACTTCAGGTGTGCTTGCACACTCATAGTCATGCTTCTTCACTTACCAACACCAGTTTGTTTCCTTTTCTTTTACCTGCACCAGTTCTCTATTCCCTCTCTTTCAAAATAAAATTTTGTCAGGAACACAGATCCTTCATTATCCTTCAATCTGCAATCGCATCAGAAAGGAAACTAGCAAATATTTCTACTAGCCACCGTAAATGTACTAGTCAGAAGAATTTCTACTGGTGCTTGTTGTGTTACAAAACCATGCTCAGACCATTCCCTTCAAAGAACCAAGAACGTGAACTTTTTCAATGTACTAGTCAGAAGAATTTCTACTCGTGTTTGTTGTGTTACAAAACCATGCTCAGACCATTCCCTTCAAAGAACCAAAAACGTGAACTTTTTCAACATCATACATTCTATATTATGCTTTGAACTTTTACTTTTGCCCAAGTAACTGCAATTAGATAATGGACTATAGCTCATTGCATAATGGTAGTTTTCTAGCACCAGCCCACAAATTATCATAGATATGAAGAAATAATAGAAGCATGAATTCCAGATAATAGGGCACATCGAAGTATTGAACTGCTTGCAGTTGATGCCATTATTATCAATGAAAACAAGAAATACCATGCATGCATCCATAAGGAATTGTCACCGAACCTAATAAAAACAGCAAGCAATTCATATGCACGACCAAAGTCAACGCCTTTAGACAAATTCCCCCAAAAAATCCCTCCAATTTACAAAACAAACCCTAGCCAAAACCCCCAATTGCAGCTCAACCCGAGATCAAACCATCCTAAGCCCAATCAAACATCGACTCAACCAAATTCCCAATGATCGGAGGCCCGTCAACCCCAACAAAACCCTAACAGAGCCCGGATCCAGATAAAAAAAAAAACTAGGGTTCGCGACAAGAAAAAAAAGGCTAAAATTGAGATTATACCTGATGCGGTGAAGGGATAAACGGTTCATTTCAGAATTAGGGCTCTCTCTTCTCTCTCAAAAACCTAAAAATTCTACGATCTCCGAGAAATCGAAAGAGGAGCGAGAGCGCTGACGGCGTTAGATGAGGGGGAGTATAAAAACACCGCCTTCGGTCGGCCACACTTTCTCTCTCCCTTTCTTGCGCCTAAAGAAATCCACAAAATTAAGCCGACATTAAAAAGCACCGACGGTTGAGATTCAGTTTTGGACCTTGGCGCGAGATCGGACCGTTGGTTTGGTGATACTTTTTACAGGGCTGGGAGGGGAAACCGGCACGTGGCGTTTGAGTCGCTTGGGTTTGACTTTCACCGAGGGCTGACGGTTGCGGATATGTTCGTCGTTTGGGGGGGTTCACACTTCACGGTTATTATTGACCGCCTCGGTTCGTGGATGGCGTGCTGAAGCTTCTGTGTTAGGGGCTGTTTGGTTGGCTTTTTTTTGTTTGGGTTTCCCGGTCAAAAGTGTCAGTTTTGACAGCTTTACGTGCAAAAACGCTTATTTTGAAACGTTTTTTCAAGTAAAGCTGTCAGTTTTGACAGGAAAATAAGGGCAAAAAATGCCAACCAAACAGCCTCTTAAAGCGAATGGTGCCAAGAAAATAAAAAATTAAAAAATTTTCAAGAACCCAAAATATGATACTGACAGGGAGGACATGTGAAGTGTCACCCTCCTATTGCATAATGAGCTGATCATCATGCAATAAGAGGGGGGCATCTCGCTTGTTCTACATGTTGATCTCATAGTTTGGGTCCATATAGCAAAGCTCATAATATATTTTATCCCCGGAGTAAGGGGTATTATAATTTTCCGGATCATACTCCTCCGACTATATTATCTAGAGACCATTAGACTAGAATTTTCAGACTAATTTGAAAATAGTCTAGATCGACATTTGTTTTTAGAAGGATTATGACTATTCCGACTTAGATGGAAGCTAAAGTGACTTTTTTGGCCTCTAGTCAACAAGTAATGTATCAATTCATCTGTTTAGCAAAATATCTTAAAACATGTGCATAATTAGAGAAATAGATATATTGTCATATACCTATTATGACACAATAAACGATCCTATTTATTTAACAAAGTGCCGCCATAAGAAACCAAAAAAAAATCTAATTAAACATGAAAATCTCCAAAAAAAAATAACAAATAGTGTATATTGATGATGTTTTTATTTTTCAGCTGGATGCTCTTTTAAATGTAGTACTTATAAAATCATACACATGAAACACTAAATACATTTTTTTCCCCCAGCTGTGAGGGTTTAATTTATTTGCGTATGTATGTATGCCTTTTTTTTAAACTTATGTGTCATCTAATATTATTGAATTTTTATTGTATGGTTTAGCACAATTTTCGTTTTTTTTTTTATGGACATATATATAGCGCAGCTGTTTAGCTGTTTGGCGCCAATACATTGACACGGCAAATGCCAAAATCAAATTTCGAGACATATGGTGTTATCGTTTCGACTTTTGTTTAGCCCTTGAATCTTGGTTTGGATCAATTGAAGAGTTAATTTACATTTAATATAAAATAGATTACCATAAAAAATGATAGTTTTTGTAAATGCAGAAATTATGACTGAAAGTTAATTTGTAGATTGGATAGTATTATGAGAAGATTTGGAGTCCTTAACCTCCTCTGATGACTAATAAACTGGAAGAAGCAAATCCATGCACAAGTATTAGATGTTAGAGGCTACAGAGGAGATTTGTCCCGATGTGCCCTCCGATGCTCAAGTTAGTGACTAGAAAGTAGTATATGGATAAATACAATATACAATTTAGGGTTTAGATAGTCCTGCATTTAGAATGGTGGGGTAGTGCCTTATATACAGGGTGGGGGCGCCAAATTGGCAACTCGTCTCGACTAACAATGTTAATGATTTACTTCCGTTTTACACATGTCGTCGGTTGGTTGGGCGGACATGAGGGGGCAGCTCTTACTGCATTTAATGTGATAGTGACAGGGTGGCAGAGTTCGAGGTGGTGTTCGATGAATCTTTATAACATATGATTGTGCATCTAATGTTGACGAGACAACCGAACATTTCCTCTCTTGCCTCAGTACTAATATTATTTAGTAGAGTTCAATCCGAAGATGTCATTTGACTCTGACTCTCTTCTGGCGGAATAAAACTTGAAGACAGGGATGGGCGTGGGTCGAGTCGGTTCGGGTCCGTGACCCGACCCACCAGGTTCAAGGCCAGGTCGAGCCTAACCCGAGCTCGATCAGGTCAAAGTAGGTCGGGTCTATTTCTCTGATCCTAGGTTTGGGATTGAACCCTGCCTGGACCACGACCCGCCTAAGTGAGGGCCGGATTTGATCAGGCCCGCAGCTCGTGGGTCATAGGCCGACCCATGGTTTTTTTATCCAAACTTTTTCCTATTTTTTACCATTTTAATTATATTAAACTTGTATTTACAATTATAACTTTTTAAAAAAAATTAGTAATTTAAGTTTATACTAAATATTTTTAAACTAGTATTAAACTTTTTAATCCATCTAGGTAGACAGCAACGAACTAAAAAATCACTGCTTTATTTCTCAGTGGGTCAAAAGGCCCATGAGCCAAATACTTATAACTTTTTAGCTTTGTTAGCAGCTAGTTTCAGATATCAAAGGGCGAAAGGAATAGCTAGTTACAAACCCAAAATACTAAAAGAATAACTAGCCCAACCAAATAATATGCATGAGCTGGCGTGGGCCGTGTCAGGCATGGGCCGGACATATTTCTCTAATCCCGGGTTTGGGGGCTAGACCCAGCTCGGCCCGTGACCCGGGTATATCATGGGTCAGGTCGGGCCTGGCCCACTATGGCCCGAGTCAACCGCGGGTCAACCTGGCCCACGTCCAACCCTACTTGAAGACGCTTTTCAACTCAGACTATGACTATTGGAAAAGTCGGTTTGGTTGGCCGGGCTATTCACTTGACATGTGGCCAAATCTTAAAAGTTTATCAAACTCGTGATTTTTAGGATACAACAACATAAAAGATATAATTGTGTTTAGGTGCTAGACTCAAACTGCATGTAGTCATTTTTTATTGAGCTTTTGTTGATGAAATATAGTCATTTTTGTTCATTTTTTTTATTGGTGAAATGTTGTGAAGTTTCAACCCTCCTACAATTTAGGTTTTACTTTGAGGTTAATAACTAAAGTCTTATATATAGTTTCAACCACCTCCAAGTTTTTCTTACATTCTTGACTGGCTGTTGTTGCAACTTAAAAAAAAAAGAATAATACAAATCAATTTTTTCCTTTTGCATTCTTTTTTGCCACAGCAACACAGTGTATACTAAAACTATATGCTACTATGATCTTTAATTTTTTCCCTATAATTTAAGGCTAAATGGCACTTAAATACCAAAAACTCTCTTCGTTATGACACTTATAGAGCATAAGTTGTTTCGGTTGGCAAATAAATACTATAATTTATTTAAAATTAACATATTAGTACCCCTGACTATACGAGAAAATTTCACTCAAATATTTCTCAATGATAATTTAACTATTAAGATTTGTTAAATTGATCATTATAGATATCATAGCAATTTTTTAAAGTCAAATTTAAGACAAGTTAACAATAGAATTTTGACGAATTTAAGGGCATGTCTGGTTTTTCAAAAAATACAAGAAAAACCAATAAAGAAAAATGGCATCAAAGGAATCCCCCCCCCCAACTCCCTAGCGAAAAACAAGCTTTTCTCTCAATTTCTAATGTTTTATTGTCAAGAGGGGAAAAAAGGAAGAT